TTTTATTTCTAACTTCCTTTTGGCAGTATAAGTGCTTTTTCAACTGAATGACTTGAAGCTTCATAATAAAATTCTTTTTACGATCTCATTTCTAATCCAAAACAGCCGTAAAAACGTAAGTAATAAATTTTCAACGCTTCGAATAGACAACAATGTTTCAAATATATTTACTCAATCTGAGGAAGAAAAGAATGCGACACTGTCGTTGGCAATTTTATAAACATCATATGAAACTTGTAATAAAATTCGATTCCTGTCTGAACCGATAAAGCCCTCTCCATTATCCAAAGCCATTTTAACTTTAGAAATCTGGAGTAAGTTCTCTATTCCAGTGTCTGAAGATATATTGCCAGTACGTGGTCTATGACAAATATGTCCCAAGTTCCCCTGACCACCAGACCAATCTGCGAAACTATTAATCGGATCGGTCAATACGGTTGCAACGAATCAATGCAAACACTATTCTCTACTTCGGGAAATTGAAGTGTGTGCAGGACTTTCACCCCGACCCTCGTCTTATTGACTCACAACTTAAACCTACTCCAACTTTGATAATTATTGTTATCCAGTTATTTGCAGTTGCAAAGCTTTTAATTCCCAGGAGTCATAGACTCTCTAATGCAGCTTAATTTAAGAAATTTTCTGATTAGTCTGCACTTACGATTAAGATTTCTACATATTTATCATTTAGCCTAGGTTCTCACGACGAAAGTAACTGTTCCCAAACGAATCTCTCCTATCCACACGTGTGAAAATATGAAAATAACGTAAGAGGTTGTGCGATTGGCGGAGAGCCCTAGGCGCGTCTGGCAAATTGTATGTGATTTGCTATTTGTTGGCCATGTGCATTGCTTTTGACTTTTATTTTCTTCATTCTTTAAAATTGACCCAAAGTTTTGTAAATAAAACCACCGACTATTTAAACCTAAATGCTAGATCTTTAAGAGAAACATCGTTTCATTGAAAATAATGGTGTTTTTTTGTCGTGGGGTTGAGTGGTCGTGGAAAAAATAGTGTACATAACTCGCTGGAATGTGTCTAACGCCTCGTGGGACTCCTCACTTGTGCGTTATTTGTCACTGTCCGTGCTTATTATGTAATATACTATTTTTAAACAGGAAAGAAAACTTTTGCACAAACGTAGGGAACTTTAATTAACTTGGACACTATTTTAATTCGATTTTTCAACGACTACAATCAGAAGCTGGAACTAAAAACTAGTTTACATAATGCGCTTTAGAATTTCTATTAAAAAGCGTTTCCTGTTCAAAATATCAATACATCCCGTCAATTTCAGTGGTGTTGATAAAGTTCTATGTTGTAAAGATTAGTACATTGAATCTGAGATTAAACTAGAACAATTATTACTGAAATTCATGTAGATACATTGTTAGGAACAAATACACGTTGTTCACAATGGCGAACACTACTCTACTAGAAACAGTAAGCTTGTAATGAAGCCTTAGACATAACAAATTCTTGCAAGCCCAAAAGGATTTTAGGCCAGTCGGAAATCCGGCCCACCGCTATCAAAACCCCACTTCCGATAACTAGATATACTCCCAAGAATTGTTACTTTCAATCTAATCAAAATTTAGACCAAATATTTGTTCATCTAATAGCAAATTGTAAAGCTGGAGAGCTCAGATTTAAGCTATAACTGGGAACATCAAATAAATTTGCAAACATTCAAAAATAAACCTTATAAACGATTTTTGAGAAATGTTTTAATGATCGTTTATTTGTAAGTATTATTAATATTAAAATTTGTAATTATTAATATTAAAAATTGATTAAGTTTTTTGTGACAATGGAGTTTTCTCGAAACCAAAGCTGGTGTTACCATCATGTAGAGCGAAAAGTTGGTTTTCAGAAGATGTCAGAAAATAACTTGAGGTAAAGATGCACCTAGCACGTTTTCCAGAGTCAACGACGATTTATAGAACTTTTTTTCCAAAACCGTCACACTAAAGTTACATAAAATCGTCAGTAAGGAGTCTAAAATCGGCACTAAAGTTTATTATACTATGATAACAAAGGCTAGGATTATATGCGAAAAAATCGTAAAATATGCGCATATACATGCACGTATTTTCAAAAAAATACACAAAATATTAAGAAATATGCTCCAATATATGCCAAATATGCATCGATATGCAAAATTTTGAACAATAAAAAGCAAACGTTTTTTGAAAAAAACCAATTGTGAATTATAAAGTTCTATAAAAATGTGATGTTTTATCAAAAATAAAATTTTTCGAAATT